AGACTAGTTTTCAAATGTTTTTATTTCTTAGGCTAATTTGGAAAATCAACCTTCTATTTAGGCTGTAGAGCTATATTTCCTCTCCTTTTGAAGGGGATAAGCATAGCTAAAATACGATATACTCTATCGCTAATTCTTGTCTATAGCTATATGGCTTTATTATTTTAATTATGAACAAAAGAAAACTTGAAAAGAGGAAGAAGAATATCAAATCACCAAAAAATGAAAAAAAAAAAAAATGTATTCATAACCAGAAAAAGAGAAATATATATATAAAAATAAGGCGGATGTCGACTCATGCACGTGCATGAAATATGAATCTGAAAGCAGTAAAACTATAGGCGGTTTTAGTGGTTTTATAGGCGGTTTTAGGGGTTTTAGTGGAACTAAGAAACAAACATATTTTCCAGGTGCGTTTTAAGTATTTTTTTTGCCGTATTTTTCTGAATGCGTCATTGTCAACTTTTTGTAGGAGAATGTGGTTTCGTGTTTGAATTGATCTTGCTTTTAGCTCGTGCGTTTTGTTTTTCTCACATCCACCAAACTACTGCTGTTCCGCATAGTAACAGATATATATAAATAGAAGGAGAAAGAGAATCATATGAATTTCCATCAATCTCTTGACATCTTCTATCTCTCTCTCCCTCCCTCTAAAACAGATAAAGTAACACAGTTACAACTTATAATTGAAGGAATGAGTAGAAATTGCAATCTAAAACTTCGCCATGTAGCTTCTGCTTCTTCCAATTCTACAGATTACAACCATCCCAAGTGAGTCTCTCTCTCTCTCTCTCTCTCTCTCTCTCTCTCTCTGTATTAGATATGTTGCTTATTTTTGGTTATGTGTTAATGAAGGTTTGAAATGAGTGGGAATTCAAATGAGAAGAATCAAACGCTAACCATTTTTTACAATGGAAGAATGACTGCCGCTGACGTTACAGAGGTTCAGGTTGGTTCTCTCATTCTGTGTAAACGATTGTGTATAGGAAACAATTGTTACAAGTTACAACTCTAATTATGGAAAAGAAAAAAATCAGCATATTTTTCAGTTTGAGTACGATTTATTGGCTTACAAGTAACTTTTTTTCAAGAAAGAAAAAAAAACACTAATCTACATATTTTTGGACAAGTCCCAAATGATCGACATATTCGAAATTATGGTGTTTCAACTTATAAGCAAATGGTGGATTTTTTTAATTAGTCTCGTAATCCCATCAAGAACTCGATCTTACAAGATCTATTGAAATTTTTGAACTTATATTTGCTAATAGCTATTGTATTATGAATTATATTTCATACCTATTGAAAATATTTTAGAACATAGTTGAAATCTTGATTATTAATTGTTTGATCCAATGTAAAAAGTGAATGCAGAAATAGACACAATTTCCTTTTTTCCAAAAAATAATTAACAAGTACACAATTTTTATAAGGGGACTTGAATTGAAGTTTATGGCTATTCTGATAACATGCCAACTGTCTTGCTCAAGAGCTTACGATATTAAAGATAGGCTCTTTAGAATTTCGAAAGTGAAAATATTCATATAATTTGATGTTCTGAAGCAACTCGTAAATATTTTGCAGGCTAGAGCTATAATATCACTTGCAAGTCGAGAAACAGAGAAGAAGTCTAACGCGAACAAGCCGCCCAGTTCTGGGCCGTCATCCCTACTATCACACATTTATAATCCTACGGGTACTTCCATGAAGAGATCATTGCAACAGTTCCTCCAGAAGAGAAAGACAAGGGCAAGAAAAGCATTTCCCTATCATCACTAGCAATTTCAATGAAAGATTTCAATAATTTGGACGATTTATTTATTCCATACGAAGGGAAGTAAGGAGTTATTGAGTTCGCTGCACATGGAAATTGCTATTTATGTAACTTATTCACATTTTGTTTATTTTTTCATGTTGTGAGAATTTAAGAGAAAATATATATATATATTTTTTTTTTCAATCTTCACATTTTATTTTTTATTTATTTGTTGTAATTGTGTTAATTATGCGACATCCATGGATAGTTAATTAAGTTAGTTCGAGACTCACAAAGCTAAGATTTGATGAAAGAGGTTAGGGTTTGACAATAGAGACAATGGATTACTTTCCTCCTTCAAACCTAATCGTTAGGTTATCTAAAAGTTGGATTGAGATAGCCATGTAAAGAACCTCCAACTGTTTAGCCAACACTTTCTCCATCACAAACTCTATATGCTTAGTACGCTAATGAAAAATGGATTGATAGCTAAAGCATGTGCACTAACATTATCACACCAAATTACATGGCAAGAGTGAACAATAGCGCCTAACTCATGAGAAAAGGCTTTTAAGCCATAAAAATGTTGGTCGCCACATGTTCTTGTGCCTAATATCCAGATTCAGTATGAAATCTAGGAACTACTATTTATTTTCTGCAACACAATTGAATGAGATTTTCTCGCTAGAAATACACAATACCTAGTAGTGGATCTCATATATATCATCCACACAACTTGCCCAATCTACAATTGAATATGATTCTAGAGGCAGACGTAACATGCTTGAAAAGAAGACTGAGTGTAGCAATATTCTCAAGATATCTAAGAATCCTTTTACTAGCCTGCTAGTGAAGAACAATAGGAGCATGCAAGAAATAACTTGAGCAAAGAACAATATGAGGTCATGTACTGAATTGCTCCAAAGGTAGATGATCTCTCTCATCCAGTTGGGACTAGGGGTTGATTTTGATTCAATTGAGTTTCAATTCTGTTATATCCAATTGATCTATGTGAAAAAGATTTTAGATCACGTTTGGCCAAGCCTAATAAAAAAGCAATGCCACTTATTTCGAAAGTAGGTAAGAGGTTGCTATTAAAAAAGTCAATTTTCATACTAAAAATTTAATATAAAGCAACTTCTAAAGATTAAGATTAGACTCTTTTATATGAGTGAACAAGAGACTGGATTACAAGAGAGTAGTTTATAGCAATTTAGACCAGACCTTTAACCAACCTACAATTAATTATAAGACATTTGACTAATGTGATATTAATTATGTGCGACCTCAAAGCTGAACTGACTCTAGCTGTCTGCCACCAATAATTGGTCCCAACTTTGTTCTTGATTTTCCACATGTTTATACCTAAATCATTATGTTGCCAGCTCAACTATACCCCCACATAAATATAAACATTGGGTGGTGCAAAATCATAGGTTAGGTCCCCTTGATAAAAATCAATTTCGTGCATAAAGTAGAAAAGGCTTTCATACTTTTAAATTAAAAGGAAGTTCTTAATTTCGAGATGGTACCCGTACCATCTACTTGTTTCTAGCTTTTTGGTCATGTGTTTAGTTTGGGAATATTATTAGTATATTTAAAAATCAAGAAAATTTATTTGAATTTAATTAAAAAATATATTACATGGATATCATGCTAAATTTATTTTAGACAAAACATTATTCTTTAAAATTTGATACTGTTATTATAGGAATTGGTTCAAATAATTAACCAAAAATTGGAAAATGAAAAGGTGTGTAAAAGTGGAAAATGAAAAGGTGTGACTACGTGTTAACTTCGACCAAATATTCGGACTTGATTTGATAGTCAAATTACAAAAATAAATAGACCAACTTATTCTACTCGTCGAGTAGATCGTCGTGGTATATTTGAAATCTCCAAACCAATTTCAGATGAATGAGAAATTGCGGACCAAAGTTGGAAGAAATGAAGTATTTCAACTTTTCGAAAGGATGCAGATTTTGACAAAGTGTTGCAGATTTTGGCAAAGTGTTGAAAGGATGCATGTTTTGGCCATACTACTTCACTTGCACCCTTTCTACATCTATAAATAGAACTCTATGGACATGATTTTGGGTACACCAATTGCATTGAGCATTCATTCTTCTCTTGTAATTCTTTCATTTCTAATTTCATAACATTTTCATGCATTTCCTTGGTAGAGAGGAAATTCCGTTCGAGTTCGCTGGTCGAAATCATTTGGAGTGTTCCTATGGCTTGACGTGGTCGTTGTATCTTGGGAGATGATTGTTGGAAAACCGTTAGCACCGATGCAGGCAAATTCATCTTAAGGATAGAATTTTACTCGCCTCGGCCAATCGCATTACTTACATCTAAGTTTTTCTAATTTCATTTCTACTTTATTTTAGAAAATGATTAATTTTATTTATATGGTTTATGCAATGTTCGATATGAAGAATCTCATGTTTTAATTCAAGAATGAAAATGGTCAGATTCGATAATCATTGGTTAGTTTCTCAAACTCCATTTCGGTAAGTCGAAACCTTGTTTCGATTTCGTGAACATAAACTGTATATATTTTTTTTAATATAATATGCACATAATCGGTGTATTCCCCAACAATTTTAAGATGAATTTTCTTATGCATGTTATATTTTATTTTCAATCGAAATCAAGATACTGCATGAATAAAATCATAAGACGGAATTTCGACGTATCATGATTCTGGTAAATGTGTTCTATTACAACATTTTAATTAGAGAAATTCACGTGTAATGAATCTGTATATTATAACAAAATCGACAGTGATTCTATAACTTAGAATCATTCATTTATATGTTGAATTCATTACAAAATATTCCAAGTCGATTTGTGGACAAACAATCTAATATTATTCAATCTTGCACCATATAATGTAGATTCTGGTTTTGACCCATTAGAAGAAATTCTAATATTCAGAGATTAGAGTGGAAAATCTCAAATCGGTGCACCAGATTATATGATAATTAGTTGTGAAATTCATAATACATATCATATTTATGAACTGGTGCATACATGTTTGTGTATTATATTTGTTGGTAGTCTCATCTATGAGTTTTATTTGTTGGCACTCTTTTAATCCAAAGTGTATCTATATTAAAAGATAATTTGTGTCAGTAGTTGCCTAAAGAATTTTGATTGGGAAGGTTGGTAAAATCTTGCTAACTGTTTACAAATAGTATGTTTGCTATATGGAAAAATGTATCTTTCCAAATTAAAAACGGTTTTTAATTTCTGAAATGGTGTGACCCGTTTGAATTGTGTAGCATGAAATATCTCTCCAGATAGTATATAAATGTAAACTAATTTGTAAAGTCAAATTGCACATGGACATTGTGAATTTTATATGCTAACCATTGCGTTCCTTCATGTTTAAACTTCCTCAATTCAAAGTTATCAAAAAATAAATTTAATAAATCTGCGAAAGATGCATGTTGGGATAATTTTAATTATTCAAAGCATGTTGGCTTTGGTCTTTGTCAAAATTTATTAATGCTGAAATTTATAGTTTGTGTAGAATTCCTTACTTTTAGTTTATACGTATGTCATCCCAATAACTTTTGTTCTCTCACTATGACAAATCATTATGCGTTTGAATATATTAGTTGCATGAGAATGCATATTTTAACTGATAAATATGTCCATAACGATAATGGCATGAGTATGCATTTATTTTAAGTAGGCAACTTTGTTGGGTATCTATATGATAATCATGTGAAGCGGATTAGTGTATTCATTTGATGAATCCATACAAGCATTTGGATTTTGGATAAACCTTTTTGGTTAAAATGGTCTAGTTGGTTAAATTTTTATATTTTGTTGAAATTATACTAACTTTGATTAATGTTGATAGCCTCGTTTAATCCTATGGAATTAAGTGAGATGATTTAAGTGGATATAATTATTTAGTTATGAGAATTAAACTACTTAATTATTTGAAATATTCTACAATCAATTTAGATGAAAAGATGCGTCCTTTCATATGAATAATCATGACTTTTGGTATGATTATTTTTCAATGGGTGTGTCTCTTCATAGAGATTAATTCAAGAGGTGTGTCGTTTTGTAGGGTTGTGTCTCTTGAAGAACACAACTTTTCAACCTATAGTTGATTTGTTCGTTCAAGTCTGAATATGATGAATAAGGTGAATATGTACCTTATTATTTGACATAAAATGAAACTATCATAAGAAATGTCATAAATGTGATAAGTTGCATATCTTGCAATGCTCAGCCCTCTTTATTGAAACCAATTAAGTTGATATATGTTTTGAAAGTATTGCTGGTCCATGTGATGACCTTGATTTAATTTGGATGATCAAAATTAATTAGATTGAAGTACGTTATATGCAAGTTGATGACCACTACTTTGAAAGTACATAGACTTTCACAAAGTACTCGATACGGATATTATCTAAGAGATAAATGAATAGAACTATAAAAGAGTTGCTGAATTCTAAGTTCAAGTATAACCTAAGAATGTGGGGGGTTAAATTTAATGCTTGTGAACTTGAAATGGAAAGTTCAAAACTTGAGGATGCAACATTACTAGATTGCATTTATATGCCTAATTAAGGAATTCTGGGGGTAACTCAGTTTAACAGTTACGTTTGCTTCTATCTTATAATCACGAAACGATATCTATGAAGGTAGAAAATAGAAAACCCTTATACTAATTATAAGGATGATATATACTAAGTCTAAAATGGATGAAATGGATTGTAAAGCTGATTATGGCGTTTGTTTAGACATACAAGAACAATTGGAATATATGAAGAATATTCATAAAGTTCAAATACATGGTAATATTTTAATGATGATAATGAATACTCATGATTCTGAAATCCACTAGCAAAAGTGATTGACTAGTGTAGTGTTTGATAGAAATCCTTCAACTGTGTTTGGAAATTGATAAAGCTAATGAGGCATATAGCTTCATGAGAAGATTTCTTGGTGGCGACAATTTGCATCTATCAAATTAATCGATCGTTGGCTAGCTATATTCGATAAGATACTAAATCACATGTAATGGTAGATCTAGACGTATAAGTCATATACATAATACCATTAAGCTGTTGATCTCAATGAAGTAAACTCGTGGTACCCTTAAAAGAGATTTACTAAGATAGATCAAGAAGACTGCATATCGAAGGGAATGGGATTGAAGCC